AGGAATATGGACTTGAAAACCAGGGGAACTGGCCTCTTTTCTGGATCTTGCTCCAGTCTACTATGCAGCCTTGCACAGGTCGCCTAATGTCTCTGGTTCATACAGGTCTCAGCATCACACATCATTCTCGTACTAATACTGTGATTATAAAACTGCTCCCTCCAAAAGACAGCCTCTCCCCAGGGCAAGTAGAAGCTTCGATTCACCTTGTTATTCTCAGTGCATGGTATCATACCAGCACACTTTAGGTGTTCCATGAATGTTTGTTGATAGAATGAGTGAATGAGTGAAAAAGTAGGTGAGGCTGTAAAAGGAAGAGGTTGGGTGTGGTTGACTTAAACTGGCATTACAGTAGCAGCCCCTGAGATGTATTTTCCCAGCTTTCCACTAAAATACCCAAGAAGGCAGAAAGAATTGAGAAATCACAGTGCTGACACCCAAGACTGACAGGCGCCCATTGCCAGAATCTGGGAGGAATTTCCATAGATACAAGGCAGATGGAACGGGGTTGAGATAAACAATCAGGTGCCTATTCGAGTTTTAACTCCTGAAATAGGGCACCCCTACAGACCAAAAGGAGGTAGGAAAATACTCAGCTCCTTCCCCACTTGCAGCCTCAGACTCTGAGACCCAGAGTCTGTGCCAATCAGAAAATTAGGGTCGGGGGAGCGGAGAAAGTTTTCTCCACCGTGTCCTGTGGTGGTGGTGGTGGTGTAATTTTGTAGGCAAAGTACTATTTCTCTTACTAGCCCATAATCCTACCATTTAGAGACTGAAGTTTCCAGAAGACAGTAGGTCAGAGGAAATGGTACAGAGGGAACAATGTCAAAGGCATTTTGTATCCTGAAAGGAACATCTCCCAGAAGTGCTATAGACCAAGGAAGCTACCGAGACAGAGTGCATGCTGGGGATTGTAGTTTTTTTTTTTTTTTTTTTTTTTTTTTGTCTTTTTTCGTGACCGGCAACAGATCGCAACCCTCAGCGTCGCGCCTGCACCAGACCGGGACCGGCAACGGGATCGCAACCCTCGGCGTTGCGCCCGCACCTCGCTCAGCCAGTGAGCAGCCAGTCCGCATGTGGGATCCGAACCCTCGGTGGGAGCGATGCTGCGCTCCCAAGCGGCGCACTACAGCAGTGCACCACCGGGCCGGCCCCGGGATTGTAGTTTTTAATGTACTTCTTTTGATGCCAGAGGAGAAGGGGACTGGGAAGGCCCGGTAGTCGGCTTTAACCCACCTCTTCCTCTTAATAGGTTCTTGATTTTGCCACAGGAAAGAATTCAACAGCAGAGTCACAGAAGAAAGTGAGAACGGGTTTCATGTAATGAATAACAGATACAGATTTCAGCGAGAGAGCACGGCCTAGTTCCAGAGATCCAGCAGGTCCCACACCAGGTCCCATACAAAAGTAAGAAATACCCCCTTAAACTCTAGTACAGAGCACAGGCTGGCTGAAGTGAGCAGCCGGCGCAGTGGGGCTTGGCCCGGGAAAGGTGCAACAATCCTGCCTTCTGCCGGGATTCAACGTTTATAGTTTCCCTAATACATATTTATGCTATTAATGAATATAAATTCCACTTTACTGAGCATGCTTGGCTATTACGTTCTATAACCCCTTTCTACGGAGCATGCCTAGCTCTTGGATTTGCATGTCAGCCCCCTGAAGTCTCAGGATAAGTCAGTCCCCTGAGGTCTTGCGTTGGTCCCGGAAATAGGTTCAACTTGCAACAGTAACTCTTCTCTAGGGGAGGGCCTAGGAGAGGGCCCTGAGGCCTTGGAGAATGGCTTGAAACCCAGAGGTGTATCCTGTAACCCAAGCCCAGGAAAACTGAGCACTTTTAGTTATTATGCCAAGAAGCCAATCGTGCAAATGGGACAGAAAAGGATGCCTGCTCAGTCCAACACAGTGTAATAGATGAACGCCTAGTTGCTGTACAAACCAACCAGCAATGAGAGGGACTGAGGCCAATTCACCCACACTGTCTATTGGCAAGCATAAGACCTAGATTATAACCAGCTTATGCAAAGATGAATAAACAAAAGCAAATGAATGGACCGTATGAAAAAATAACTACATAATGAACGAAAGGAAATGTCTTCCTAAAAGTACCTAACTCTAAAAAAAAAATTATTATATATCCCAGAAGAAAAAAATGGAAATTTGTTTTGTGTACTAAGTAGAATGTAAAAAAAGGGGGGGGGCATAATTTCAATAAAACAGGCGCAGAAATTTCTAAGGGCAGTGTAGACAGAGATTAAAAAACAAAAGGAAAACTAAAATTGCAACGGCAGAATTTAAATCCCCCACTGGAGGCAGTTAAAGTGCAGAATTGACCTTGAAGAAAATCAAAATCAGTAACGAGGAAGACAAACTTGAGAAGCTCTTGTGGAGTAAAGAAGGACAAAATGGCAAAAGTTGTGACAAAGGTTATTTATGAGGGAATTATCCACTTAAAATAATAGGTAGTCACAAGGGAAAACAAAGACCTAAAACAAAATAACTAGGAAGGACAAAAATTACAGAAAATATTCTGGTTCAGAAAAAAGTGGCCCAGGTATACAGAAAAAAGACTTATCACATTCCAGGCAAAATTAATGAGAAGAGGCACACATGCTGGTTATCTTTTGCTTTTATAACAAACCACATCAATTTATTATTATGTCTCATGGTTCTGTGGGTACCCTGGTCACAGCTGGGTGCCTTTGCTCAGGGTCACTCATATGGTTGCAGTCAGTTGGTGGTTGGAATTAGATCATTTGAAAACTTCTTCCCTTGCATGTCTGGCTGGGATGGCTGGAACAGCTGGGGGCCGGCTGGGCATCTCTTTCTCTTCACATGGCCTCTCTACGTGGGTAAGCTTGAGCTTCCTTACAGCATAACAGTCTCAAGCAAGGCTACTGTACTTCTCCATGGTGACTGGATTCCTCCATAGTGAATGTTCTAAGAATGTTCTAAGGCCCCAAAGTTCAAGGCTCCTATGACCTAGCCTCAGAAGCCACATAGTCTTTTCCATTTCACTCTACTGGTCAAATGAAGGGAGTGGAAGAGAGAGATAATACTTCTCAATCAGGGAAAGGCTTGCATGTACAGGGAGGGAAGGAATTGATGGTGGCTGTCTTGGAAACAAACTCCCACACGCATGTGTACCATTGAAAATATTTGAAGGAAAAAACCTATGAGAATCCTGTAAGGATCCAAATTGCAAAACATAGGTTACCTGAGAAAAATAAAAATCAGATTACTCATATACAACCCCTAATATTAGAGCAATTATGGAGGCAAAAATATGTGACTCACTAATTTTATACTCAGTCAACTTACTACTCATGTGTTAAAGCCACGAAGAAACATTATCAGGGCTCAGAAGATGTAATGCTCACGTGACCTTTTGAAAAAGCTACTTGAAGATATACTCCAGTCAACCAAGAAATGAGTCCAAATCAAAGGAGGCCTGAATTGGAAAGCCAACGAACTAAGTATTCTCCTTTTCACAACAATCTTTCCAGGAATAACAAAGCTGCCCAATATGTGGTGATGATCATATAAAGAATAAATTTGGGGGCTGAACAATTTCTGCTGTAGAAACTGCAGAATTGCCTGTACTATTGTAGTGTGCCCCAAGACACCATGTGTATGCACTCAGGAATCAGATGCGCATCTCTACAAAGTGCAGAAGTGACACCTTGCATTCAGTAAAGAACAAAAACTTGATGAAGCCTGTGGACCCCGGGTCCCAGGCCCCATACCCTTTAGGGGCCAGCAGGTATTGTCAGTGGGTAAAGTAGCTCAAGTGCAAGATAGGGAGTTAGAAGAACCAGGGAACTGGGCCCCTTGATATCCATTTTACAGATGAGGAAACAAAGGCTCAAAGAGGGAAGTGACCTGTCCCAGGTCTCATAGCAATTTGGATCTGGGAAGCTTTTTCATTCTGGAAGCTTCCTCACAGGGAGGTGACAAGGATGTCAGCCCTGTCAGGACGCCAGAGAGGTCTGTGTTTCTGAGGAACAGAGATGGGAGCAGCCATTGGCCTGAGGCTCACGGCCATGCCACGGGGCCCTGGGTCCTCAGCCACTCACCACCAGCGAGGAGAGACCCTCGGCTGTCCGCCGGGCCAGCCAGCCTTCCCACCTCACTCCTTCCTCGTGTCTGTTCCTCCATTTTCTCTCCCTTCCCACCTGTCCTCCCTCTTCGCTTCTATTTCTCCCTTTCTTCGTTCCTTTCTCTCTCTTCTACTCAACAAACTCTTAGTAAGCGCCTACTGTGTGCATATCGCCGGAACGGACCCTGTGTGCGACACAACTCACCCAATGCCGCTGTAGAAAGAGGGTTTTGCAGTAAGGATATCCAGTGAATTTCTGTGAGGCGGGTGGTAGTTACGCTCCAGCCACAGGCACACGGAATTAGCAGGAGGACTAACCCGGTCCTTGAACGTCGTTCCTCCTCAGTAATTTCGACTCTGAAAGACTGTCATTTACATTTGGGAAAGAGCTTGTGAGCAGGACTGGAGGTGTGGTTTTCTCACGGGCCTGCAGCAACAAGCGTGGGGAGCCAGGGCCGCGCATGCGCTTCTTGGAGGCCAGCGCCTGGAGGAGGCTGCGACTCTGCCCCAGAGCTCGTCCCAGATCCTCATTACAGGCTGGAGTTTCCTTCCTCTAATGAAGCCACGTGAGTTGGGGGTTTGGGTGGAGGAAATGCTTCACTCCAGGACCTTAAACCATGCTTGGATTTACACCTTCACACAAAACTACAAACCCTTCTCATAGGGGCTGAATACTGTCCTCTTCAAAGCTCATATGGAACATTGATCCCCCGTATGCAATGTTGAAAGGTGGGGCCTTTACGAGGTGAGGCCCTGTGAGGCCCCTGCCCTCACGAATGGATTAATCCATCGATGGGCTGATGGATGAATGGGTTAGCATGGTGTCTAGTGGTGGCTTTATAAGGAGAACACATGAGACCGCTCTTGTCGTTCTCACATGTGATAACCTGCCTTGCCACAGGACTCTGCTTAGAGCCCCCCACAAGAAGAAGGTCCTCACCAGATGTGTCCCCTGGACCTCGGACCTCCCAGCCTCCAGAAGTGTAAGAAATAAATTCTATTTCTTTATAAATTACCCAGTTTCAGGTATTCTGTTATGAGCAACAGAAAATTGACTAATATACCCTTCCTGCAGCCTCTCTCTTTCCTTCACCTGATTCCTACTCTTAACCTCTTTTGGAAGTCTTAGTGTGTTGTTTGCCCTGGGATTAAATTAAGCCCAAACTTCTGATTCTGTCCTTCATTGTTCTGTCATGCTACAGGGGAGGACTTAAATGTCCTAGGCTTGTTTGGGTCCTCCATGTCCTTTCTTGCTGAAAATCATAATTTTAATAATGATAACTGTTTTTTCTTTTAAGTTTGTGCAAATTATTTTATGCTTTGTGCTGTAATCAAAACTATGTGAGACAGACATTATGTTGAGTGAAAAAAGCCAGGCGCTATGTGAATTCATTTATGTGAAGGGTAAAACCAAGCAAAATGAATCAAGGTCAAAATAATGATTCCCTCTGAGGAGGTGGGGTGGGTATTGGTGGGCAAAGGACATGAAGAAACCCTCCGGGATGCTGGACATACTCATATCTGGATTTGAGAGGTGGTTATATGGGTGTATACATTTGTCAACATTCATTGAATTGGACACTTAAAATGTGTGCTTTTTGTTCGTGTTATACCTTAACTTAAAAAAATACATTGTGAGCTAGTTTCTTTCCAATGCAAACTAGTGCTAAAATTTCTCTGTCTTCTGCTGTCCTTTGTACTATTGGCTTTGCTTTGTTGGCAGAAATGTGCTTCTGTCAACTTATTTTTAAGGAACACTGTTAAGTTGCTTTTATAGATTGCCTCCCATCATGATATTATTCCCCCTTAGAACTCATAATCTAGAAGGTAAGCTAAGACTCATACTCAAGTAAGAGTAATGGAGAGTTTCAGTGGGAATTTGGGGGGAATGTGAGAATCTCTGAGGATGAAGGCAAGAACATAAAGAGTGATCTCAGCACACTGAGCCCAATCCAGTGGGAGCATAGGAAGAACAAATTCAAATTCCATGGATCATGGAGGGCTTGGATGCCAAACCACAGTAGACAGTGGGGAACCACTAGAATTTCTTGAGCAGAAGAGGAGCATTAGCAAACCAGTGCTTCCCAAAGAGAGCTATGATGGTGTGTCCCAGATGAAGGTTGTTAGACCAGGTAAGAGGATATTCCAGTAGTCAAAGCAAAAAGTAATATGGCTCAAAATAGTTAAAGAACTAGAGAGGAGGTGATAGATACCATAACTAAAGTGACTGATGGGCATAGAGAGCAAGGAAGAGAAAAAAATAATGAAAAAGAGGAAGCAAAGGCATGGCAGTTGGGAGCATGGGCTCTGGACTGGCCTTGAATCACAGCTCCCTCCACATGCTAGCTGTTGATTTTAGGCAAGTCTCTTAACTGTAGTAACACCAATTCAAAGACAAGAAGATGGAAGCTTTGCCAAGTTTGAGAAGCTCCTTCTTCTTGATAATAAGAATATCTGTTGCATAAGAATAGATGAGGCACATAAGGCACTATCATAATATCGGGACACAGAAGATCCTCAGTGAATGGGTCTTAGTGTAATTATTTTCATTATCATTACCGTTATTCCGGATGGTGTTAAGAATGCAGTCAACAGAGTGAGAGTGAAGGGGTGGGCAAATGGTGAGTTCAGCTTTCTTTTCAGCAGAAACTTTAAGAGCCAACACATGGTTCAACATGGTTTTTGTTTGTTTGTTTTTCCTTCTTCCATGAAACTAGTGATGTCCCAGATAGAGGTCATTCCATTGGCCTGGATCCCAACAAGAAGATGACGTGCAACAGAGCCATAACCTGCCTGTGATTGACATGTAATCTGAATGAGAAATAAACCTGTATGGTTGTAAGATTTAGAAGATGTTTGTTACTGCAGCATAATCCAATCTTTCCTGACTGTTATAGCGGGTGAATGAATTACCCAATATCCCTAATCTGTGATATCAACAAGGTTAAAGCAGGAAACTCCCACAGGTTCCTCCAGAAAGGCTTACAAAGACACAGATCCAATTTTTTCCGTCATAACAACAATCATAGCATCAGACTGTTAGCACACGCCAAGGAGGATAATTTGGGTGGAGTGGAAAGATGCTCTGAACCCAGTATTTTACTGTTAAGGGCAAATTTGCAGAGATTTGGAAAATTGGGTGCTGTGTGGGATAAACATACTGAGCAAGTTTGCAGCTACAACACAGCTGAGCTCAAGGGAACGGGGTTTGATAGTTAGTGTCAGCATAACGAATTAAAAAAAAAAAAAAAAAAAAAAACCCACTCCAGAATATCTGCAAAACACTGTCAAGTTAAAAATTGTGCCTGCGAGTTTTTTTTAAAGCAATTTCCCTAGCCACTATGACTAATATCTCATTTTGTTAATTCAGAAAGAAGATCTTTTTAAAAATACTGTAGCATGTCATTCCGCAGCTTAAACACTTTCAATGACTTCCCATTATCTTGAAAGTCAAGTTGAAACTCTTCAAGTGATGTACAAGGCACTTCATGACTGACTCCTGTTTACCTATCCTGCTTCACATCAGGCTGTTCTCTCCTCCCATCCTTTGATTCCACCACCCAAAGACTGAAAATTCCTAGTAGAAGCCACGCTTACTCTGCCTCTGAGCCTTTTTGCTTGCTGTTCCCTCTGTCTGCAACACTCTTCCAGCCATTGCACTAACAAAGCAGATGCTCCAAATGTTTGAAATACTTTAAGTGTTTAACTTTCCTCAAGAGGGCATTGAACATGAGAAAAATCATGTTTTTTCGAGTTTTCTTGTATTTATTCAGCTGTTTGGTATTGTTTTTCTTTTGAGTCACACGTAGGGCCCATCAAAATCTCCTCCATGCTTATATCTAAGCTAAAGGTCTTAACCTGACCTGGCTTCTGGCACTGTCCCTGGCTAATTTTCTTTATTCTTCAGGTTTTAGGGTAAGTGCAACTTCCCCCAGGAAATCTCCTGTGGCTCTCCTCCCCACCACCCCACATCAAGGTTAATAGCCTTCCTCTAGGTTACCAGAGTCCCCGATACTTCCTCCATGGCAGTAATTTTTGCCTCATTTAAGTGATCCATATCTCTAACTAGAACACAAACTCCCTGAGTGCAGGGATGGCATGGGTCCTGTTCCCCACTGCATTTCCAACAACTAGCCCAGCACTGGCACATGGAAGATGCTCAATAAACATTTCACTGAATGGTGAAACTGAAATGTGCATTTCTGACCCATAGACAGGGTCCCAGTACCTGATCTGGGTATAAATTGATGTGGCTGATTGCACTGGGCAATCGGCATTGATTTGGTTACCAAACAGGCTGTTAAATTCAGAGAGAAGGTATAAGTTGTTTGAAGCAAGCGTTCAACTCTCAGAACCCAAGTCCCAATTTTTTTTTTTGAAGAAAAAAATTTATTGTGGTAAAATATATACATATATATACCATAAAACTTGCCATTTTCACCATTTTTAAGTATACAATCCAGTGGCATGAGGTACATTCACAATGTGTGCAACAACCATCACCATTATCTCTTTCCAAAACTTTTTTGTTACTCCAGGTAGAAACTCAGTACCCATTAAGAAATTTCCCCTCCCTCCAGCCCCTGATAACCTCTAATCTACTTTCTGTCTCCATGGATTTATCACTTCTGTATATTTCATATACATGTCATCATACAATATATGGTTTTTGTGACTGGCTTCTTTCACTTAGCATAATTTTTCAAGGTTCATCCACACTGCAATGTACTTCATTCCTTTTTATGGCTGAATAATATTCCATTGTATGGATAGACCCCATTCTTTTTATTTACTTGGGTTGTTTCCACCTTTTGGCTATTGTGAATAATGCTGCAATGAACATTGGCATACAAGTATCTGGTTGAGTCCCTGTTTTCAGGGGTTTTTTGATATATACACAGGAGTGGAACTACTGGGTCATATAGCAATTCTATGTTTCCTATCCCCCTATTTTCAAGTGGCAATAATATTGTTTGCAGAGCCCTATGTGCCAGGTACTATGCTGGGCCCTTTATCTACAACAGCTCATCGGAGCCTCTAGCAACTCTCTGTGGAATATGCATTTACCTCCATTTTCCAGGTGGAGAAACTGAGGCCTAAGTAGGTTCTGCAATTTGCACCAAATTACACACCTATGAAGTCACAAAGCAGGTATTTGAACTCTCGTGTCTCTGCTCTTAACCAGTAAAGGCAGCCTTCCTCCCGAATCACAGTGTGGTGGTGGGAAGAGGGGGGCACAGGAGGGAGGCAGATGAAACCCTCTTCCTGAGAGTGCTGTTCATTCCACAGTTATTGAGATTAAGTGAAAATTCTTTTTTGGTAGTCCCAGAACTTAAATTCATTTGAAGGTTTAATACTATTTTGATATAAACATCACTATTTGACTATTTTATATAAGGGAGCAGGAGGCTGGAGCAAAAAGAAGAAAATGTTAAAAACAAAAAACCACCAAACCTGCAGTTCCGTCTACTCAGAAGCTATGACTATTAACACCTTGGTGCTAGTGATTCTTCCAAGCCTTCTGCCACATACCAGCCAGCCGCCAAAAAAAAAATTATGTAGTCAAACCTTATTCTGTGCACATGCAAATATAGCGTGATTATCTTTTTAAATGAGATCATACAGAGTATACAATTTCTTAACATCTTTTTCACTTAATATATTGCAACTATATTCCATGTTAATAAATATATTTCTCCAACATACTTTTATGAATATGTAGTATTTCGTTCATCCACTCAGCAAATATTTACTGGATGCCTAACATTGTATCTGAGATTGTATTTAACTGAGCCTCTATTATTGTATATTGTTTCTTCCCAACTTCTTACTAGGATAAAGAGGACTATATTAAATATCCTCATAGCTAAATCTTTGAGCTTGTCCTCTGATTATTTTCTGGAAATAAATTCCTAGAAGTAGAATTGTTTGGTCCAAGTAAAACACTTTTCAGGCTTTTGATACTCTCTTAACCAGCCAGGCATATTTGGTTGTGAGGACAGACACTTATATGAACTAGCTCAAGTTCAAGGGTTTGTTAAAAAGACATGGACCTTAGGAAGGGTGAAAGCAGGGCAACTTCAGGGTTCTCAGCAGCTGAAGATCACAAACACTCAGTTTAGTGCTCCCATTGACATGACTTCGCTATCAACTTAGTCTTTGTTTCAACTTTATTCAAATTCTCAAGACAGAGAGAGTCTGGTTGGTATAGCCTCAGCCTATGGAACTGACTCCCCTGAGTCCGACCATGGTAGGAGCAGGGAGACCACCTGGAACTGATAACCTTCTAACACATGAAGTGGATCATAATAGTGGTTTGAGACTAAAAATATGTCAGAAGAGAAAAAACAGCCTCCTTTTCCTTTGAAAATAGATCACCATTCTCAGAACATAGATAATCAGAACTCTTTTGGTTGTAAGTGACAGAGGCCCAATTCAAACCAGCCTAAGCATGAGGATCTTTATTGCCACATGTGACTGGGAAGTTCAGGGGTAGATCTGTTATCAAACACAGCTACACCCAAGAGGCCAAAGTGTCACCAGGACTGCCCCCACCCCCACCCCACCCACTGTGCTATCTTGCTGTCTTCTGCAGTGGAGTCATTCACAGGCTGACTCTCTCCAGGGTAAGGTATGATGGCCACCAACAGCTCCTGACATTTCCTACCACCTTGGCAGCCCTGACAGGAAGAGGATGCTCTTCCCTGCAAAAGTCTCGGGGATTCGCTCCTATTGGGCCAACACCACTGAACCAATCACCATGGCCATGGTCTGATTGGTCAGGCTGAGTCCTGGGCCGGCCCTTGAGGCTGGGCAGTGGGGTCAGCCCCATCTGAACCACATGGACAGAGGGTAGGAGAGGGGTGACTCCCAGAAAGAAACTCAGAGAGCTTTTGCCAAAAGAAGGGAAATGGATGCCAAGCAGAGAACACCAAGTATCACCACAGAAATATAGTAGTTTTTTTTTCTTTTTCCAATAGAGGGGATGGATCATATTCAGCCATTCTGATTTTCTTTTCTTATTTCACCCAATGACAAATAGGAGGTTTTGTGACTTTGTTGAAAGAAGCTGTCTTGGTAGAACTTTCTGGAATGATGGAAGTGTTCTATATCTGTGCTATCCAGTATGGGTACCACTAGACTATTAAATAGCACAGTGTTGCTACTGAGTGTTTGAAATGTGGCTAGTGGGACCGAGAAACTGAATTTTTCCTTTGAATTTATTTATTTATTTATTTAATTTTTTAAAAAGATGACCGGTAAGGGGGGATCATAACTCTTGACTTGGTGTTGTCAGCACCACGCTCAGCCAGTGAGCAAACCAACCACCCCTATATAGGATCCGAACCCATGGCTTTGGTGTTATCAGCACCACACTCTCCTGAGTGAGCCACGGGCCAGCCCTCATTTGAATTCATTTAAATTTAAATAGCCACATGAGGCTGGTGGCCACTGTATCAGACAACACAGAATGAAAACCTGCTAAGTTTTTCTGTTAGCATTGTACAGAAATGTGAGATCTTCAGTGCCTCTGGACTCCAGTAAAAGAAACTCTTGCCCTTATCTTCTGGCAGAAAAACTTTCTGAACCTCAGGGAGTTTTTCCATGAGAGCCATGGGAGGTCTGCGCTATATCCAGGGGTCAGCACTGAATGTGGTGACTTGTAATGAAATAACTGAAACATCATTGTGACTGTAGAATCAAGGGTCTCCGCTTCTTATCTCCAAAGTGCCTGTGTTTTACATGAAAAAGCGTTTCTAATTAATGGGCCAGCCCCTCTTGAGTTTGATAAAAACAGTGGAGAAAAGGATTTGATTAACCCACGATCTTTTCAATTTGGCATGTTCT